GGGAGACGGTCTGAGTGGAACCCTGTTTTTTAAACCGGCTCCTCTTGCAGACTGGCTGCCACTTACCACTCTGGACTGAGGTGTTAAGGGTTCCTCAGGAATGGAGCTGGAAGCGCGCTGTCTGTTGGCCCCACCACCAGATATTACTGAATACTTAAGTAACTGATAAGTTTTGATGCAGTTACACGATTATTGAATCAGTCAATATCTAACATCCCTAGATCAGATACCATGTTGATGAGGGCCCAGTAAGTACTGGGACAGGAAGGAAGGATGATGTAACACAATCATTCCTCAGGAATGGAGCTGGAAGCGCGCTGTCTGTTGGCCCCACCACCAGATATTACTGAATACTTAAGTAACTGATAAGTTTTGATGCAGTTACACGATTATTGAATCAGTCAATATCTAACATCCCTAGATCAGATACCATGTTGATGAGGGCCCAGTAAGTACTGGGACAGGAAGGAAGGATGATGTAACACAATCAGCTGTGAATGGGGTGCTTTAGTACAGACAACAATGCACAGAAGCAGAGTGACCTTTCCCCCAAAGCCAGGCATGTATTACATATTTCCCTCCTGTAAGGGCTGATTGAAGGGCCAGTCCTGAGGATCCCCCAGCTTTGATTGAACAAAGAAAAGCAGCACCAGGCAGCAGGACCAGACTAGCTGATCGCCTGGCTGGCAGGTCACGGAGGAGTGTGTGCATTGTGCTTGCCTGTGTTAATTTCAAGCCCCAGTGCACCCCTTGTGTGGGTGAATTCCCACTGCTTTTATGGCAAGGTCATGACCTTTTTTATGTCTCTCCCCTCCCCTCCCCGGGGATTTTTCGCATTGCATATTGGGTCCTTAAACACTTTTAAAACCAAAACGGGAGGAGGCTGGATTGCTGAGGGTTGTTTGAATTTTTTTTTCCTGGAAGCTTTTTCAAGACTATCAGGGAGATGGGGGGAGCTGATAAGAAGCTCTTCCCATTTCAGGTCCTAGGGGAGGGACGAAGGGGCAGCTGTTTTATCTCCCCATAACCAAGACCCTCACCTCCAGATAAAGGGCTTTAAGCAGAGGAGCTCCTGGAAAGCTGCTTCAGTTTGATAACGGTCTTTGCTGTCCGCCTTCTGCACCATCTGCCTTGGGGAAGGTGTGGGAGGGAGGCAGCGGTAAATTCCTTAGCCTGATTACAGTATAGCCCCATGTGGCTGTATGTGACTGTTGTGCTAACCACAGATGGAGACATCTTTCCCCTCTTCCAGCCCATGTGCCTTCAAAAGCAATGAATTTGCTGTTCAAGTTTTCTGATTTCCCACACAGTCACTAAAAGTTTCTCTTGCAATTAAGGGTGAAAGTGCTTGGCCAAACAACAAAACACCCATTTTTTTTTCCAGGACAGAAGAAATTTACAGTTGGTCTTGTTTCGCTGAGTCTGGTTCTGAGCATCTCTTTAATGAAAGCAGAGATCTGTATCTCTGGAACCAACCCAGCTCATGGTACTATTGTCTCTGCAGCACATTCATATTGAATAGGACAGCAAATGTCCTGCAGTTTTATTGGGGTATCATACCCCAACAGATGCAGTAAGAAAACCAAGCAAGGCATACGTCTTTGGCACCAAGTATACCTTCTGGCACCTCTCTAGTGAATTGAGTCCTATCTTGCTCCTCTTGAAGACAATTAAAAGCCCCAGCCACCTCATATGAATTGTAGTAGGGTGGGATAATAACCATTATCCAAAGCCAAAATCAAGATCCCTGTTAACTTCTGAGTGCTTTGGATGAGACCCGAAAGGGCGGGGACAGGAGGGAGGTCTTTTCTTCACTTTCCTCTAAAGTATCTGATGCTGAAAGCAGAGGTGAAGGTCAGGCTAGCTGGATGTGGTTTGGCAATTTCTGTGCATTGTGTTGAGCCCTGGCGAGAGCTGCTGATGCCCAGTGCTTTTGTGCATGCCTTGCTCAGGTAAGAGGGGAATTGCAGTCAGTGGTGGAGGTGCTCAAGGTAGGCACTAAACTGAAGAATTAATCTGGGTGCTTAGGGAAAGCACCACATTAGCAGTGAACGGCACAGAGAACATTTAGAGAGAGTGGAGGTATGGTGATAGCTGAATGACTACTTCTCATCTCTTCTCCATTGTTTCTGGAAGACCCTACTAAGATCTACCTTTGATTTTGCATTCCAGCTTGTCTGCAAAGAAGGGAGCCCAGAAGTGGGGCTGTGTTAGCAGAACTTTCCTCTCTGGGCCTGAGTGTCACTCTTATACTTTTCCTCTGTGCTGGGTGGGAAGGAGGGACAGTATTTGGGTTTGAGTTGCCGATAGTGTCAGAGGCAGCCATGTGGTGTTTGCTAATGCCAGCATTTGGAAAGGAGATGGGAGACAGTGATGAATAGGAATGTTGGTATTCTCTCTGCACGTTGGTCGTTTTCTGGGAAGGTTGGAGCATAAGGCAAATATCTAGTTTAGATTCTGATATTAGCTTCATGCTCTGTGTTATAAATCCCTCCTGAGCCTGCTTTTCCATTTCTCACTTGTCTGCATCTTCTTCCTGGATCTGACTTGCTCAGTTGTTAAACAGCTGACCTGGTCCCAATGAGAAGGGGAAAAACCCTCACAAATGTGGCCCCCAACTGAGAAGCAGAAAAACGGACATTCACGTCACTGCTCTCTGTCCCCACCCAAAAGCCTAGATTTTTGTGGCTCCCCTAAGCTCTGGGGAGGGTGTCCAAAAACGAGGGGATCAGTGCACAGGATGTGATGTCTGGGCAGGAGGTGGGGTGCAGGAGCATGTTGAGGATGCAAGGGCTGGGTGAAGGCAGAGTGCAGGAGTTGGCAGGGGCTTTTGGGGGTTGGGGCCAGGAGCAGGTTGGAGGGGGGATCTGTGTGGGGGCAGGGGACCAGAGAACCTATCAGATGCAACTCATAGGGAACACAAGCGGCTCCACATGGTTCTGCATGCTTCATGGATGCACTGTACAGGCTCTTCCCTCCGGGAGCATTGCCCTGCTCCTTCCCCCTACCAGGTAGAGACCACAGGTTGGATCCGGCCCGTGGCTTGCCTTGATTGGGTCTTAGAGCATTGGGGCCTCCCCCCTTCTTTCCTCTGCAACAGGGAGCCCTTGGCTTGGCTGGAATGCCAGCTCTGGCTCCCATCGCTGCTGGGGTGGAGAGCCCTGAGCTTCGCTGGCCCGATCAAGGTAAGCTGCAAGTCAGAGATGGTCCACGACTAAGTTCCCCATCTCTGCTTTAAAATATTGTTACAGCCTCCAACCAGGTGGAGTGAAGCAGAAGCTGTTCATGAAGGGGCTGTCTTGGCACAGCAAAGGTGGTTGAAAAACTAAGCCAAGTGAGATGCAGCAGTTGCTAAACTGCTGCTTTCCAGGAGATGAGTAGAGGGGTGCAGCTGTATCTCAGTGCTGGAGGTTCCTCTGTGGTGCACTAAGCTACCACTGAGGTGATGCAGTTGTGTTAGTGATCATGGTTCCAGATGCTATTCTGTGATAGGGTGAGTGCCAGGGAACAGTTCAGTAGCATTTTCTTTAATTGTGGTATTTCAAAAAAGCAGCACACTTGTGTGTCGATTCTCACATTCTGCCATGTTCAGTTTAGCTGAGTAAGTTTATTTTTCATGACTTATGGACCTAGCAGGGCAAGGGCACTACTAAAATGGCCAAGTGCTTTGGGAGCATGGCTACCATCTTGAAACCAGTCCTCAGTTGTCCTTTTACCCAGTCATAAGTAGGGTACTATGAAGCATTTAATTCAGGGGTAGACCTTTTACATCAAATAGTCAGTTAGCAGCCTGTTGTGAGAGCTGTACTGGAGTAGCAGCCAGTATTTTGGGCCAGGGTTGAGGGATACTTACAGAGCTATACAGAAGTCCAGGGTTGAAACAAGAATCTGTTCTGGCTTCTCACCAGAGTATCTGGCCTCCTGAGAAGTAGTATGCTGCAGGTCAGAATTTGAGGGTGTTAGAAGAACAATATGTGGCTTACACTAGTTAATCAAGTTTCACCTGCAAAACTGTTAGTAAGCTCAGCTAGTCGTTCTAGTGGGTGCATTGAGGACTCTGGTGGCAGGGTCCAAATGCAATAAATCACTTTAGTCTCCTGCATTGCCTGGAGTTTATGGGGTTTGTGATTTGTCTTCTTGTTTTACAGCTGGTGACGAAACTGAGGAAGCTAGAAAGGGCTCAGAAGAAATAGTGGAGGAGGAGGAGGAAGACGAAGAGGAAAGTATTCCAGGATGCACGCTGTTCATCAAAAACCTCAACTTTGTCACCACAGAAGACACACTGAAGGAGGTGAACAGTGGGAGAGACTTGGGATTGGGTGTTGCATGTACCCGACAAAGTTCTATTTTAGGGATTCTCAACAACAAAAATTACTACATGACCCCAGGAGGGAGGAACTGAAGCCTGAGCCCACCCGAGCCCTGCTGCCCCAGGTGGCAGGACCACAGCCCCACTTTCCCTTGTAGTGGGACGTAGGCCCAAGTCCCAGATCTTCAGCCCCAGCTTGAGGGTTTGTAACCTAAAACCCATAACCCAGAGCTGAAACCCTTAGGCTGTGTCTACATTGGCACCCTTTTCCGGAAAAGGGATGCTAATGAGACACTTCGGAATTGCAAATGCCGCGGGGATTTAAATTTTCCCCGCGGCATTTGCATGAACATGGCTTCCGCTTTTTTCCGGCTCTGAGCTTTGCCGGAAAAAAGCGCCAGTCTAGACAGGGATCTTTTGGAAAATAAAGCCTTTTCCGGAAGATCCCTTATTCCTCTTAAAATCAGGAATAAGGGATCTTCCGGAAAAGGCTTTATTTTCCGAAAGATCCCTGTCTAGACTGGCGCTTTTTTCTGG